CTCACGTGAAACTTATTGTGATAGCTCTCCATTTCATTCTTTTTCTTTCTATAATTTGCTGTAATTATTTTGAATTATATCTTTATTACTTCCTGTCAAGTGGAGTCTTAGATATTTCACTGAATCCTTTGCTATCTTACAGACAGTGGGTCTTTTATAAAGTCTTCTTCAGAGGTTAAATGCCTTGTTATTATCTTAGCTTTCTTTTCATTAATTTTCTTTCTGAAAAGGCAGCCAAAGTCTTTATTTATATCAACAGTCATATGGAGCTTTGGTTGCATAATTAATATATTAATATTATATTGTCTGCATAGTATTTCATTTTGTATCCCTCTCCTTAATAATTATTCCAGTTATTGTTTATCTTTTAGGATCTTGCTTGTTGTGACTTCCAAAGAGATTACAAATAGTAAAGAGGCTTGTGTCTTTCATACTGAGAAGTTTGCAGAGTGTATTCCATTCACTGTACTATTTGCTATTGTTGTTGATATATGCTGTCTGGGATCCTTCTCCATGATTCATTTTGCCTAAACCTGTGATGGCGAACCTATGGCCATTTGTACGGACACAGGAGGCCCAGGCAAATTTACCTCACTGCGCATGCAGGCATCTCCCAGCTGATTTTCAGACCTTTTTTGGCCTCCCAGAGGCTTGAGGGAAGTCTCTAAAGCCTTTGGAGGCTGAAAAACAGGCCCGTTTCATCACTTCCAGTATTTCCGGAAATACAGGAAGTGATAAAACGGGCCTGTTTTTCTGCCTCCATAAGCTGCAGAGGCTTCTCTCGAGCCTCTGGGAGGCCGAAAAAGGCATGAAAAATCAGCTGGGAGGTGCGCGCATGCGCAGGGGCACATTGCCTTCTGGGTGCAGGCACGTGAGCACGAGCACAATTTTCGGCACAGGAGCCCAAAAAGGTTAGCCACCATTGGCCTAGACCCTCCAGCAGAAATATACTGTATATTCAAAGATGTCTAAGCTTTTTCCTCAGCTAAAATATTACAGCTCCCTTATTCATAATATTGATATACTTAGTGCATTTGTAAGTACAGTAATTAATTCCACTGTTCTCCATTAATGTCATCTTTGGAATATAATGTTTCTGGTAGGTGCTTATTATTTGGGAATGAACTTCCTTTTACATTAGCTGATATATTTACAAACAACATTCTATAATGAAATTGGTCTACATGATTGAGATTTCTTTGTGTTCTTGTTTATGGCTTTTCTCTTTTTTTGTGTTATGAATGCTTATTTCAGTTTTTGACATTGTTTTTATCTTCTTGATTTCATTCATCATTTTTAATAGTGATTTCACTAATTCCTCTTCCACCTTCTGGTAATTCTGGGCTATCGGTCTATCTGGGTCTGACATGTATTCAATTTTAATTGTTTTATCTCTCTTATTCTTTGATATCTTGAATGGTTATAGATTTCCTTCACAAATGTCTATGTTTTTTACTGAATTCTTTAAGACCTGTGTTTTTGTATGTTTTCAGACATTCCCTGTCAATTTTAAGTTTGGAATATAGTTCCTCCAAAAAGTCCAATTTTTTGAGGTGAGGATTTATTGCTAAGGCAGAATTGATTGTGCTTGGCATGACTGGAATCTTGACAGAGCCAAACAGGATCAGAATGAAGGTCGTGCATCCATCCTGGTGCTACTTGATCTCTCAGTGGCTTTCAATACCATCAATCTTAGTATCTGAGCATCGGTGTTGAGAATGGAAAGCATAGTGCTAATTTTCTAAAATTGCAATGACTATTTTGATCCTTCTAATACTTTTTGAGTATTTTTGTATGACTACCATATGTGATAGAACGTTTCTTCTTTAATCTTGTTTTGAAGCACTGTTGGAAAACTTGATCCCCTGCGTTTTTTAGCCTTACAAAATCTTATTCTTGAAAAATGTGAGTTGATTAGGTATATGGCACCTTATGAATTTCTTTTGCTTTAGTATCCTCATCTTTCCAGTCCAAAAATACTGGCCAATGCTGGTATAATTTTTCTTCTCTATTTGCATCTGAACTCTGTGGGATAGCTTTAAATCTCAAACTGAATTCCTTCTGAGTTCCCAGCCACACTATTTTTCTCTCCAATTTCCCATTTACTTTTTTAAATCTCCATATTATCATTAGCTTATTTTATATCTCCATTTGATAGAATTTTCCATCTTTTCATCTTATCAAGCCTTCAATCTATGTTTTTTTGTCAAAGACTGAATAGTAAGGTGACCAACTTTTTTACAATGAAGAGGACACAAATAAATTGAAGAAGAAAAACAAAGCCACTTGCACGCATCGCACTCTTGCGCACAGCGCACTCTCTCAAAACAATTCTCCTGTGTGGAGCACATGCGTCTCATAATCGCGTCTTGCCACACTGTACTGAGCCTTGACAAATCCTCATGTCAAATACAAATATATCACATCACTCACAACGGATCGGATTGGCATCGATCAAATATGGAGATTTACAGATTAGTCTTCAAATATCAAAAAGGAGGATATGTAGGAGGACACTTTTCGAGAGAGGACAGAACTTACAAAAGGAGGACTATCCTCCGTAAAGGAGGATGGTTGGTCACCTTATGAATAGCGTTTCAAGTGACTGAGTCAATTTAGATTCCAATTCATCAAACACTGTGTGTAGAAACTTAAAGAAATTGCTTTATTTTATTTTCCTTCTCTAACAATTGTTCTAAGGAACCTCTTCTATCCTCTATTCCTCCTGCCTTATACATCATTATTTGAAACCAAACTGTTAAACAGAAGATAAGATAAACACAAACTTTCTCTAGTTTTTAAAACTGTAATTGTAAGCATGCACCACATCTGTGTTTCCATGGTTTCAACCAAATATTCAATCTACTCAGGTTACTTTTATTTTTTATTTTGTGAATCAAATCAATTACCAACAATGTTTAATATATAGCAAATGCATTCCCATGGAAAGTTTGAGTGTTAATTCAGTTAGGATTTTGAAAATGTAGTTTCATAAAAAAATTAATCTTTTTATAAAATAAACTTCCCCTTCAACAGTTTTTAACTTTCTTGTCATTCCTTATTGAACTTTTTACCAACTATTCCACATATTTAAAACTTTAATTCAGCTTTTAAATTATTATCCCACCCAAAAAAGGAAAACCACCAAGAGAAATATTTATCTAATGTAAAACAAGTCTCTCTCATGCTAAAAATAATTATATCCAAATGTGGTTAAGAATTGAGTATTCATTGGTTCTTTTCTCCACATTGGCTGCACCACAGCAGTGAACCTAGATAGACTCCCACTCCTTCCAACCACTCAACTAGCAAGTAAACTGCAAAAGCTTCCATCTTTACTGTTAAAACTCATGGGAAACCGCCATCTGGAGATCAGAGGGGTTGATTTCATGCTTCCTCCTTTATCTGGAGAAAATTCAGCATCCACACTGGCTACTGGGCATGGATCTTAGCTGTGACACTGTGTCCAGTTTTCCCAAAACAAACTAAATGGCCATTAATCATCAGTTATTTTGTATTTTCATCATGAGAATGAGAATATCTATACCTTCTTTTGGAGCTCTTCTATTTCCACTAATTGTTGTTTTATTCTGTTTCGTTCTCTCAATACCTGTTTAGATTAGTTTTGTGAAATTTTCTAATTTTATTTTTCCCTCCTTCCAATCGTGATTTTCATCTACTACATTGATGCAAACATTATAAGAATTTCTCTCGTATCAGTTTTACATATCTCCAATATTGTTGCCTCTGATATTCCTGATGATGTATTTATGTTGAAGGAACATTTTGGTTTTTTATATTTCTGAAATATGCCTTCTTTACAGACAGTTATTCTATTTGAAAAGCATTTTTTCTTCTCAAAATTGGATTTGGTCCATACATATCATTGAGAGAATTTCTAGTTCCTTAATAAATGATGTGAGAGCCTTAGAAACCCAGCAGGTATCAATTATTGAAAATCCACAATGTCTTACAGAAAAGAACATATAGCCCCTTCCTTCAGATTTTGTAGTCTTCAAGCATTCATCAAAGCAAGTGTGCCCATGTATTGAAAACTCCTTTTGGGAGTTTTCCTCCATTTTTCTCTTTGAGAAGTAAATTTATCTAAATTCAGATCTAGCATTTCATTCATGTATCCCCCAGCTGCATTTTTTATTACAATTTTTCATAGAATCTTTTCATTAGTCTTATTTGGGGCATAGATGGATTCCAGATTTAAACTTTTACTTTATTTTCTTAATATCAAAATTAAAATTCATCCTTTTTTATCTTTTAATTTCTCTAATGTCTTCTAAGAGGGCGATTTAAGATAAATTTGAATCTGGAAATTTTCCATGTATTTTTATATAGTCTTACCTAATTATAATATATAGCTAGAGTATAATTATAATATTTGATTTTGTCACTATTATTAAAATCATTTTTAAAAATAGACAAAAAGCATCATTGGTTAACTTTATAAAAAATCGATTAATAGGAATTAGTATCTTGTTCTAATATAACTTCATATTATTTTGATATTATCAAGATACATGAATTATATAACAAACATTAATCCTAAATATTATATACCACTCTAGCCTATAATTTACTTTTTGAAGTCAAATGCCTAGCTGGGATCCACATTAATTGATAGTAGACAATATATTATTTAATCTTTTACAATATTATAATAAAATGTGTATTATGGATTCTTCTACATTCTCTCTAAATATTTTCTCCTATATTCTAATTTATTTAAAATTTGAAATTCCTGGTTCATAATTTCTTATACCAGCAGCAGAATACACATTAATGGGCAAAAGACTTGTCAAAAATAATGAATCTAAATAGTCAGTTATAGACTATTTATATATTAACACATAGCAAGTTATAACAGTAAAGAACCTAAGGTATAATATATAACATACTACCCCGTATGTAGTGAGAATATATACTCAATTATGTGAATAATTGCTATCTAAATGTTTTCTATGACATATATTTCAATTAATACTTACCTCTTTTCTGAACCCAGCCTTCTTTCACAATTGTAACATCGCTCATGATGGCTCTACTGAGCCTTCAGATTAAAGAATATTTTGCAGTATTACTTTTAGAGTTCCTTTATTCTTCTGACTTTCCAATATTTTAAAGCAGCCTGAAAGTGTAAATAAACAAAAATTAACTCTTCTGATGTCCCAGTGCTTAATACTCAACCTATTTATCACTCTTATATAGCTGCCCATTTCACTAAAAATGATTCTGGACAACATACACCAATCAAATAAAACCACTGATACATAAAGCAATCATAAAAATATTTTTTAAAAATAATTGAAAAGAAAATATTATAAAAACTTTAAATTATGCAAACTACACTGAATGAACGAAGTATCAAACATGGTGAAGTTGTCTCAAAAAGTTTTCAGCTTGCTGAGAGCCAAGCTTGATTATATAACAAAGTCAAGAAACCTCCAAAATAGCAGAGATGGGAATTAACATGACTTCAGGGGGTTGAGAAGAATGTTCCTTAAGGCAAATGTCATACAAAGAAGGCCAACCTCCTGGTACCCATCAAATGTAAGACCCTAGAAGATAGTATTGGTAATATGCCTTCTCTGTCAGATCAAATGGGATGGGCTGATGTAATCACCTAAAGCAGGGGTCCCCAACCCCCAGGCCTGTGCAGAACCTGACCATGCAAGTAGTGGCTGCTTGCATTCGAAGCTCCCCTCACATAAGCAGTGGCCACTTGCACTTGCATGCAAAGCTCCCTTTCCTGCTATCTGCACAAATGGAGTTGTGCATACTCACACCCGCTTGCCTGCCACTCACAGGAACTATCCTCTCCCACACCGGGCTATCAACCCAGAAATGTTGGGTACCGCTGACCTAAAAAGGCAGTTCCTCAGATAACGGGTCCTATTTCATGAAGGACTTTAAAGGTTAAAACCAGCATCTTGAATTGGACCCAAAAGCAGATCAGCAGTCAAAACAGCTTGCGGAGCGGAAGTATAATATCTTTCTAGGCACACACATAAGCTGCCTGTGCCACTGCATTCTGCAACAGTTGAAGCTTCCAGAAATTCTTCAAGGGCACCCCCATGTACAGCACATTACAGTAGTCCAATTTGGAGCTAACTAAGCCAGGGCATAGATGACTGTGAGCAGAGGCCCCTGATCCAGGAAAGGAGGCAATTGGTGCACAACTCGAAGATGTGCAAGGGCCCTCCCAGAGTAGCAATTTCCCCCCAAAAAATAATACATAGAATAATTTATTTAAAAATGTGAAATGATGTAGAAGAGCAAGCAGAGCTGCAGGGCAGGATTAATTATATGATCATCTTAGTCATTATGTTGCCACAAATGGTCCAAGCCCAATCCCTCTTGATTCCATTGATCCTTATTTAGCACAAATGTAGTACTGAACTTTAGTCAATTAGATTCTGGAATATAAGTTTGAGCAATAAATCTTTTTAATTGTAGCTTACAGTATCCTGATCCTTTGATCCTAGTAAATACATAGATACCACATAGCAATAAACATCAATAATAACAAAAAAAATGTATCTAGCATCAGGATAGCATAGTATGAATAAAATTAGCCTGGTCAAAATAAAAATCATTAGTTTTGTCATCCATTTCATCAATAAACTATGGTTCCTAATACATACACATTTAACTTTTAACAAGTTGCCTCTATCAATATTTCAACACTGCTGTGATTGATATTGGTGAGCATTTGTTTAGTGACTATTTGACTGAAATTACAATGGTACTGAAAAAAGTGACTCACAACCAGTCCTCGCAAAATAACTATGGTACATGACTATGACCATAGCAGCATCCCACAATCATATGTTCAAAGTTCAGGCACTTGGCAACTGGCATGTATTTATAACGGTTCACAGGATCACACGATCACCATTTGCAATCATCCCAGAGGACTTCTGACAAACAAATTGAATGGGGAAAACCAGATTAACTTGAAACTTCATGATTGCTTAATGGCCAAAGTGATTTGCTTAAACAACAAAGGTCATAAAATTGGAGGCAACTCACTTAATAGCTGAACTGCTTACCGATAGAAGGTCCAGTCCCAATTGTGATTATAAGTCAAAGACTATATGTTATTTTTAATTTCCCTTTAAGAAAAAAAAAATCAGCAAGAATGGTTTTAGATATGGGAGAGCCACAAATCTCTCTCATTTCCAGTCTCGAAAATCCTCAACCTCCTGCAAAACTGCCTAAAACCACACCATTGAAATTATCATATTTTTGCACTAAGTTTCAATAGGAGAATTTGAACTATTTTTTAAGATCTCAGATGAGAAACAGGGAACAATTTACCTGAGACCAGCCCTCTTCCAGCCAAAAAAAGCACTAAAAAAGCACCAAAGCTTTGCTCTTAGAGTGATCACTTGGTCACTAGAAATCTTGGTGGAAACCTCTAGATCTGTGATGGTGAACCTATGGCACACGTGCCGGAAGTGGCACGCAGAGCCATTTCTGCCAGCACGCAAGCACATGCACCCCGCCAGCCAGCTGATTGTTGGGTATCTGCCACACCTGCATGGGGGGAGACACATGTACAGGAGACGCACGTGCATGCACAGGGGGCAGGGCAGGGCACGTGCGAGAGGGGTCATGCACATGTGCAGGTGGGGGGGTCACATGCACATTGCATTATGGGTACAGGCATGCATGTGCACATGCACACACATGCATTTTCAGCATGCGACAATGAAAAGGTTAGCCATCACTGCTCTAGATCAGCGGTCGCCAACGGGTGGTCCGCAGCCCACTGGTGGTCCGCGAGAAAATGTTGGTGGTCTACAGAGAAATGCCATCCCAAAGCACCCCCCAAAGCAATTAATCCAGGCTGCAGGGGAACACAAGGCTGTGCCACCCACACGGCCCAGGAACACAAGGCTTGCGTCGCTTGCATTAGGAACAACACAAGATAGTGAGGGGAGGGGGGAGGGGGGGAGGGGGGAACTTGCCTCGCCACTGGGTTGCTTCTTCAGCTTCTTTCTTCTTCTGCTTTTGGCTACATGCAAGGAAAGCAGCAAAAGTCTTTCTTTCTCTCCCCCAAACTCCGCCAGAAATGAGTCTTAGGGACCCTGCAAGGCCTCCTGCATGACAAGTCTCAGAAAGATTCATTTCTGGCGGAGTTGGGGGGGAGAGAAAGAAAAGCTACTGCTGCTTTCCTTGCATGCAGCCTGAGAACAGAGCTCAAAGCAGGCTAGGAATGGGGCTGCCTTGGAGGGGGTGGGGGTGTGTGAGGGAGAGAGAGAAAAAGAAAGAAAATCACCAGCCCCCAGGTTAGATCGGATCTCTTTTTTTCCTCTCCCTCTGAGAACAGAGCTCAAAGCAGGCTAGGAATGCGGCTGCCTTGGAGTGGGTGGGGGTGGTGAGGTGTGTGTGTGTGAGAGAGAGAGGGGGGGAGAGGGAGGGAGGGAGGGAGAACATCACCAGCCCTCCGAGGTTAGATCAAATCTCTCTCTCTCCTTCTCCCTCCCACCAATGTCAGTCAAAATTCACATTAATGGTCCGCAGGATTTAAAATAATGAGTTTGGTGGTCCCTGAGGTCTAAAAGGTTGGCAACCCCTGCTCTAGATTGTCAAGAAGTTATACTATTGTTTACTTCTTCAAAGCTTACTCATCACTCAGTTAACCGAAGAAATTAAAATCTTCATTCAGAAATGCAAGAAAGTACTTCTTCATCAATCTGACTAATATTAAAGCCTCTTATGATGCCCAATGAGTAGTGCTAAATCATGTTATCTGGATGTTGGTGGGTTTTATTTTGAAGAAATCAGCTGTGAAATGATTCCCCAAAACCTGTATATTATTGATCAGTAAAGACTTTTGGAAACAATTTTTTCTTACTCCCCAAAACAACAAATATGCAATGCTGATCACTTGCTTGATGTCCTCACTTGCATTATAAAATAAGTCAAATAAACACAATACAGCTAGCCCTCAATTTATGGCAAGTTGCTTAATGACCATTCAAAGTTACGATGGACTCCCCTGCAAAAGAAATTCATGATTTGGTTTTGAAATTTCTAACTGCACCATCTGTGAACATGTGATCATATTTTGGGTGCTCAGCAACCAGTCTGCATTTACAGCTTTTCACAGCCCCCTGTGATCATGTGACCCCGATTTATAATCATTTTGCCAGAAACCAGCATTTAATTCTACTTTCCAGAAAAACCAGCCCATAGTGAACAATGGGTCACTTAACGGCTGAAACGTTTGCTTGACCACTGCATTCATTTAACTGCCGCAAAAAAAAATATAAAATTGGGGCCTGTCATATGATGACCCATTTTACAACCACCACAATTTATAACCATAATTCTCAGTCTCAATTACAGCCATAAATCGAGGACTACCTGCATTTATATCAAATCACTGAATTATATACTTGGATGAAGCTATACAACCTAGTGAATCCAATTTAATACAAAAATATTACAAGCTTAATACAATAATTTTATTTTAAAAACTTAAATGACAGATCAGCCTTTGTTGACATTTGGTAATAGATACCAAACATCTCATTAGGCATGAGTGTTTACAGGGGAAAGGGGATAGAAAAAATATGAAATAGGTATCAGAACACTACAGTACAAACCATGTCTGATGTACTAGTTTCTGACAATTCAGTGTAGACTCAAAAGGTCAGGGGTCACACTATATTCCATCATTACATTATTGTTTTCTCATCACAGTTTCCTCCATACACTATTACAAAATTCTTTCTGGTGATCAATCAGCAACAGCAATAGCAGTATCACTTAGGCTTATATACTACCCCATTGTGCTTTACAGAACCGTCATTTTCACAGAGAAGAGACAATTCTTAACTCCCACAAAATGATACTGTTTAATAGAAAAGACTAGGAGCATGCCAACTCTATCAGTCTTGGTGAGTTGAAGACAGAAGTTTCTGTAAGTAATCTAGTCCTGTGCCCTGGATTTTATAGATTACTAGTTGATAACCCAGTGTGGCCCAGATATTTATTTATCCCAATCCTATATTAGACAGGAAAATCCTGTAGTCTGGATTCATGCTGTTGTACTGTCTCTCGCACAGTGTTGCAAGTGTTCTATTCCTCTCCTTGGGAGTTTCTTGTCTACGCTGG